TAATAAACGTCTGAAAATCATAATTAGGAATATGGTAGCCATAGTACCAACTGATATTTGTCATATGGAACAACACAAAGTGAGATGAGAAATGTGAGACTTGCATAGTTGTGTTCTTGTGGAATTTTCAAATCGAAAATTCTATGAAGGTGCTCATGTGCCATTTTGTATTACTATCTTAATTTTAAAAATATTCTCAGAATGAAACATTTAATTTTCCGCTACTTAACAGATGATTTATCAAGTGTTATGCATCATGTAGTACTGAGTTGCTTCCAAAACAGTTGTATTTTTTTAGACTTTCATTTTAAAGTGTTAATTTGAATAGGAAAGGTGTTTCTTATAGTGTTAAGCGTTTTGTATTATCTTAACCACTTCTTAACGCTTACTACGGAACTCTCACACTTGGGAATAATAGGCGAATGAAGAATATTCTTATCAAATTTACACAGTCAACATAAACTTATCATGTATTGGCTTAGCGAGGTAAAGGTGTGCGCCGGCCGGGGCTCGAACCCCGGACCTTCTGCATGGTCGGCGAGCGTCTTAACTGCTGTGCCACCGACGCACTCACGTATTGTTAGTGGATTATAATTTTTAATTAATTTTGATGCGTTGACTTGATGATGAGTTTTAATTGTATGCCCTGGATCTAATCTTTAGTGATGAGGTTACCATAAAATACATTTAGTGAAGTTCACCTTCAAAAGCTGTCCAATTCTTAGCAATTTCAAACCAGAATTTGCATTGTTGTAGGCTAAGTTGATAAAAATAAGTATGTTGCTAATAACACAAGTTATGAAGATATTGAATCAATAGGAGGAATCTAAAGGAAGTTATCTCTAGCATATACATATACAGCATCGTTTCATCTACAGGTGGGTGACACATATGAGGATTTCAAGATCGGCCAGGCGCAAATCAAGAAAGCAAGACAGTTTCTTGTTATTCTGAAGTCGCTGTGGAGATCTATAGCAATTTATTTATTTTTTAAAAATTTAGATTAATTCCACAGTTTTTGGTACAAGTATGAAATTTCCAGCATGTGATATCGGTAGCCCAAATTTAACAGGCCGACCATTGATATCAGGTGTGCCTCGGCCGGGGATCGAACCCCGAACCATTTGCATGGTTCAAGAACACTATTTGAATATTCAACACTAATTTTAAGCCAGTCAGTGGTTTTTGGTGCAAGCGTCACAAAAGGCAGTTCCATTAGCCTTCTTCAGACTTTGATCAACATGTGTTTCCTTCTCAAGCTAGATACTGAATTTCAGATGGCCGTTTAAAAAGGATAAACAAAAAGAAACGTTGTCAGACAGCGAACTAATCAACAGCCTACTACCCAAGAAACATGCAGTATGAAGTCCAGATGGATTGGACATAAGCTGAGGAAGTAGTCGAGTGACATCACACACCAGGTCCTAGAGTGGAACCCGGATGGGTTGCATGTTGGCAGAAGAAGATCAATTGGACAGGAAATGAAAGCCAACAGTCAACCGTGGAGCCGAATGAAAATGACGACTGAGGACACCATACAGTTTACATTTGCTACTGGAGTCTTATGTTTTATACTGAATCCAAATTATTATTATTTATTATTATATCCTTTCATTCCTGGAGGAACATAGGGTTTCAGCTGCGCACCTCCGTTGCCTTCTGTTTTCTGCCAACTTTTCCACCTCGCTCCAAGTCTGCCCACATGCTCTCATCTCCTCCTCGCATGACCTCCTCCAAGTCACCCTTGGACGACCAACTCACCGCTTCCCTTTCGGGTTCCACTCGAGCAATGACTTGTCTAGTGATGTCACTTGATGGTTTCCTCAGCGTATGGCCAATCCACCTCCAGTTCTTCCTGCTTATTTGTTGCACACTCGTTTCCTGGTTGGTTCGTTCATTGCCAGAGATCCCTGTTGCTGATCCTTTCTGGCCATCTGATCTTGAGTATTGAGCGAAGACAACTGTTAACGAAGGTCTATAATTTGTTTGAGGTGCTCTTTATGGCGCGCCAAGTCTCTGATCTGAATAGTAGCACTGACTTCACATTGGAGTTGAAAATCCGGATCTTATTTTTAATGCTGAGTGCTGTTGACTTCCACACAGACTTGAGAGTAATGAAAGCTTGTCTTGCTTTTCCGATTCTGGCTTTGATATCCTCGTCAGTTCCGTCGGCCTGTAGTTGAAACGATGCTTCCCAGGTAGGTAGGTAAAGGAGGTTGATCCCTTCAGACTCCTCCCATTTATGCTGATTGTTATCTGTCTGGCCGGCGGCCAGGAATCTTCATCACCTCTGTTTTATCTATGTTCACCTGAAGGCCTATCTTCTCTGGATGCTTCTTCTGCCAACTTGTTGCTTTTCACTTGCATATCTTCCAGTTTATGGGAAATCAGACATATATCATCGGCGAAGTCCAGATCCTCCAAGTTTTTTGTGTGATTCCGTTTTACGCCTGTTTCCTCATTGCCCGTTGTTTGTCGCATTATCCAATCTACTGCAATCAGGAAGATCATGGATGATAGTAGACACCCTTGTCTCACTCCCGTCCTCACTTCGAAGGCTTCCGTAAAATTCCCGTTGTGGATTACTCGGCATGCAGCATTGTCGTATAACTGTTGGATGATACGTATAATTGTCGATGGGACCCCATAGTAGCGAAGTAGTTGCCAAATCACCTCTCGATCGACGCTGTGCTGTCGAAGGCCTTTTCAAAGTCGATGAAGTTGAGATAGAGAGGTGACTACCATTCCAAGCTTTGTTCAATGGTGATCCGAAATGTGGCGATTTGATCAATACATGATTTGTTCCTCCTGAATCCAGCCTGTTCCGGTCGGAGTTTTTCATCTAGGGCTTGTTTGATTCTCTCCAGGATGGTGCGGCTTAGTATTTTGCTTGGAATGGACAGGAGCATAATTCCGCGCCAGTTTTTGCATTGACTTAAGTCTCCTTTCTTTGGTAGTTTGAATAAGTAGCCTTTCTTCCAATCCCCGGGTACCTTGCCCTCTTTCCACACCTTCTCTAGCAATGGAGTCATCAAGTCCGCTGTTGTCTCTGGGTACATTTTCAGTGCTTCTGCTGGGATTCCATCTGGTCCTGCTGCCTTTCCAGCTTTTAGCATCTTGATTGCCTTCAGGACTTCTGATTTCGTCGGGGAGTTGATGTTCACTGGTAGATCTGCTTCCGTTGTTGGTATTGTTGGGCGCGTTGTAGGTGGCGGACGATTTAGAAGTCTTTTGAATTGTTCAGCCCAGTGTTTTCTTTGCTCCACCTCTTTGGTGATTGGCTTTCCATTGTCATCCTTTACTGGCTTAATCTGTGTCGAACTTTTGCCCGATAGGTGCCTAGTTGTTTGGTAGAATGTGGCGAAGACTCCTTTGCCTGCAGCTTGTTCTGCTTCGTTTGCCATGGTTTCATAATATTTTCTTTTGTCTTCCCTGGTACTCTTCTTCACTCTTTTATTCAGTGTATTGTAGCTGGCATTCAGCTCCTGTTTTTGTTGCTCGTCAGTGCACTGGATAATCTTTTGTTTCACTGTCCTTCTCTCCTTCTTCTGAATCCAAAAAATAAATCTTAATAATAATTGCAGGTGGTTGTAACACTTGTCAAATTTGAAAAAAATATTTGTCACTAATCTGTGAGTCATACAATGAATTTGTGGTGAACAGCTATGTTACTTTATTGTTTATATCATGGAAATACCTTCAATTCCAAACCACAGAAATCAATCTTGTCATCTTCACATGTAAGTTGGCTGGGTAACTTAATTACCAAATTTTTGTTGTGCTTTCCTGTTATTTCTGAGTGAAATTGCATCATTTATGCAAGCGAATCAATACAGCCACTGACGCAGTTCTTTATAAGCAGGAAGAACAAAATTATCACACCATCATCGTTACTGATAATGAGTAATTTGTTAGACAGCAAAAAATAATTGTTATACTAGGGAGTATACATGATAATATTATTAGTGTATTGTCAAATAATTGCAATAATAATCATAACATTACTTTCTGGAAAAGAAACAAAGGAAAGTAAATCTACACAACTCCATACATAGTTAAATCTCTTTGCATTGGGAATCATCAATCTTTCTGACTGGAATGAGGAGTATAATGTTATCATGTGGTAATAAGTAGTATAACCTGGTAATGGTTAAATTTCTCATATATTTACCACTGTTAGTATTGATTGTAGTTTCGTTGATCTTATGCTGGCTATATATATATATATATATATATATATATATATATATATATATATATATATATATATATATATATATATATATATATATATATATATATATGTTAAACTACTATTTTGGTTTGTTGGGCGCCACACTTTAAAATGGAAGTGAAACAAGGAGAATGTAAAAGGATGATTATTTTTATGTTAGAGAAACAAACAAAAAATAGATCACAAAAATAAAAACTGTAATGATAAATATAGTTTTGTTGATTTAAGGCAAAGTGAATCAATTTTCGCTTAGCATTTAAATAATGAGTGTATGAGTTAAGAAATTCAATTACAGATACCATCATCTATATTCAACTTTCATACCAATATAATGTAAGAAAGGGTTTTGAAAATGCAACCAAAGAAAAACCAGTGATATCAAAATTGATTCGTGTTCAATACATATATACTTTCATCTCGTGGAGTAATGTTATATCAAATCTAAATGCATGAACTAGTCTTGGCTACAATTAATAGTCACTGCAGTGATAACAATATGAGTAATAATATAGGCCTTTAGGATACTGCAAAATAACAAAGAGATATTCTTTGAGTTTTTTGTTTTCTATTTAAAATTTTTGGGAAATTAAACAAAGAAATTAGCAGGTGAAAACAGTGTATTTATATCACATATGCAAATCATAATATCACCACGACTGCAAGCCGAGAATAAAAAATAATGAGAATAAAATAATATATATATATATATATGAAAAGCAATGCACACTAATGAGAGTAGTGTTCGTGGATAGGACCGTGGGAAGACTCAAGACAATGTAACCGAACGAGCCTGTTCTCTTGCTAGTAGGATTAATGGAATCAAAGTAATCACTGGGCGACTATTCAGCTGTATAAATGGATGCTTGAAATATTCAAAGGAAAAATATTTAGATATTGTTATCATCAATGAATGAAATGTGTATTTTACTAAAATGTCTAAATGATGCAAAACAACATTCCCTAAGTTTTGCCTAAACTGTAATTTCGGAATACACCAGTCATATCTTTGGGTAACAGTAACACTTGCGTGCTAGACGAAATAACTATGAATCTCATTTATCTGTTGCCAGAACGACATGTATTTTCTTTATTATAGCTTGACTCTACTCAGTATTTTTGATACAAGTATGGAATTTTCAGCATGTGATATCGGTAGCCTAAATTTTGCAGGCCGACCATATATATCAGGTGTGCGTCGGTAGGAGGTCGAACCCCGGACCATGTGCATGGTCGGCGAGAGTCCTAACAACTGTGCCACTGACGCACAGGGTTTATATGTTATGCTTCCTAAATGATTGCATGGAGGATTTAATCATGAGCTGACATCAGTTAGAGAACCACTGGAAAACCTGGGAGTACTGGGCAGCTGTTTCGTCCTAGTTTGGGACTCTTCAGCAGTACGCACCCACCGGGATTGTAGAATACCACTTGATTTTTGTTACGTCATTTAATTTCAAAAACTGACGAATTAGTAAAGCACAGCGTCAAGGATACCTTTCAATTTGTTGATAAGATAAAAAACCTGAATACAACGACTCTTTACACTTCCTCAACGTCCTACTAACGAGGAGAGAGGATGGTTCCATCAAAAGAACCATATTTAGAAAGCTAGAGACCAAAGCCCAGTATACAGATTTCCTTAGCTTCGTACCGATGAAATACAAACGTAATCTAATCAGGTGCTTAGCATTTAGAGCGAGGTCTATTTGTTCTGAAGAGTGCGTAGAGAAAGAACTCCAGATCATCCGAGACATTCTAAGCGAGAACGGATATCCAGAGAAGTTCATTAAAGCCAACATAGGTTATAATAGCCGTAAACATGAACTGACAACTGTGGAGAAAAAGCCTCTGTTTTTACGTCTCCAATTCAAGGGAGATACTCCGGCGGAGATTCTATCCCAACGTTTAACCAGGGCGATCAAGAAAACTTTCTATTCTGCACGTCTGTGTCTATCCTTCACTAGCCCTCCAATGTTCACCCAGCAACTCAAAGATGCCTTACCTAACCTTAGCTCTTCTTCATGCATATACCATTTCAACTGTTCCTGTGGTTCAAGTTATATAGGGCGCACGATTAGGCAGGTTCGTCTACGGGTTCGAGAACACTTACCAGCTTGGTTCAGCGGGGGGGAAATTAAGTGCATAAAAAGCTCGATCCTGTCACACCTGGTCGATACTGGACATCGCATCGATGTCAACACAGCTTTCAGAGTTATATACCGAATTCCGAAGTCGTTATCACGTACAGTTCGCTTACGTCTCCTACACATAGCTGAAGCTGTTGCAATAAGATCGACTAAACCGGAACTGTGTATCCAAAAGGAACACGTCCAGACGCTGTTCCTACCGTGGCCAACCTTGGATTGAAGATTTTTCTTCTCACCAAGAGTACTCCTTCCTCTTAAGCCTCTTGGTTTTTTTTTAATTTGCTTATTATTATAAATATTATTATTACAGTTATTATTATTCGTCATAATTTATGCCCTTTATGCAAACATTCCCTCAATACTATCGAATTTTCATTTGTACGGACTTATTAGTGAAACTATTATCTGTTTTCTCAATATATGCATCCACCTGTTTCATTTAATATATTCGTTATCTCACTATGATCCTCTCATTCCAGTCTTACTATATCAACTGCTTAACTCAGACCACTTTGTACTAGCCACTCACCTGACACCTTTTATAACCTTGATCTGATTTGTCAATTTTCCTACCCCACACTCTACAATTCCATTATGATTGATTAACCACCACTATTGTCTCCCGTTTTACAATATTTCTAATCGATTTCAGCCTAGCACGTTTGTCACACAAATATGACTATTTATTTTGACACCCCATAACTAATCTGTTATTCTACGTTAAAAATGTATCCGCCGCATACCTGGCCTTTATTGTAACGACCACAAATATTATATTTTATAATTGTAAGAACCTGAAGAGAAATTATTGAAAAGAATATTCTTCGTTCAGATTGACTTTTAATTCAAAAACTATTATAATTTCTTTCCAATTTTATCTTAGCCTCTATTGATTTATTCAAAGTACTAGGAAAACTACTAATTTATATACCATTTTGATCAAGATAAGTAAATATATAATTTAAATCTCCGTGTTAACCTATTGACATTTGTATGCGCACGTGACACTTATTGAAACATTGGTACAAATAGCTGAAATCAAGTCATAGCATCTATTATCTAAAGGAAATACACTTTTATCTGTTTAGTTATGAAAGTCATCAAAGTCACTTTTGAAGTCCACTTGATAAATACAAATACAAACACATACACACAAACACACACAGTAGCTTACTTCAATTAGTTCAGAGGCACTAGCACGTAGTTGAGCATCCACTTCCAAACATCTGTCGAGAAAATTTAATAATTCCGGACTAAGATTATCTTTACGAAAGTTGGGTTTACCATTTGTTGCTATTAAATATAATGCCTAAACATTATATTTAAAAAAAATATAAAAAATACAAGAAGAAATTTCTGACAAAACGGATGATTTTGCAGAGAATTCATTAATTTCGAATGAGCTATACTTTCTATTCAATTCATTCAAATTATTGCACAGTCTGTATTGTTTGCCATTGACAACCGTCCCATAAAAGATAAAAATATCAAAGTATTTTATAAGTTGAATTGTAATCAACGTTCACAGAATATTCTATTTTAATTCTTGTGATATTTTGAGAAAAATTACCCTGTTTTTATGTCTGTGATCACAACAATTGTTAGGACTTGCTCATTTTAGTTACTTCGAAAAGCTATTGAAATTAAACTATATAACTGCGTGTAAGTAATTTAGAAAAAAGCTCAGCGATTGCGGTGCATGCATTAACACACAACCACACAATAGGGTGGAAGAGGGTTATGATTCTAAGAAGAAATATAATTAGGTGGAGAGAGAGGTTGATGACTGAATCCTTGTTCATAGAGTCTACAACCAACAGAAATCACTCAATGCAAATACTAGAGATGTGGAAGATATTATTACCACCAGTCAAGCCACAAGGAGGATAATAAATAATCTTAAAATTCTATTTCTACTCACGTGCAGTATAACATTCTAACAAGTTACTTATTTTGACTATAAAAACATCTTATTTTCTCATCTGATCGTACTTGATTGATAACAATCATATTATTAAAACACAAAATGATCCAGCAAAGAATATCCTTTTCGGTAAATTCCTTTTCTGGCTCTAAAATTATATATGTTTATATACACAGAATATTCTTGATTAGTAGTCAATTGTGCGTCGGTGGCACACTGGTTAGGACTCTCGCCGACCATGCACATGGTCCGGGGTTCGAACCACTGCCGACGCACACCTGATATATATGGTCGGCCTGCAAAATTTAGGCTACCGATATCACATGCTGAAAATTCCATACTTGTACCGAAAATACGGTGTTGTTGAAAGCTGTCATCAAAATAAAAATAAAATAAATAGCAAATTGGTGTTTTTTTAAATAGTATCGATTTGTGAACTAAGATCAATGCATTTACAGTTCATTAAAGATGCTTAAATTATACTAATAATAATACAGATATAGTAGCAAACAGAATATCTACTAAAATTAGGAAAATTCCACAAAAATTCAGGATTATTCAAACCCAGATGGCCAAGGTAAGGGTAATGTCTGGACTAACTTCTTTTGGACTCACAAATAAGGCTTCTTAATATGGATCCCAACAGCCTCAGGAATGTTAAGTAGGCGAACTCTTAAGGCGAAATTGAGATTCGTAGGTATGCGATAAATGACCCTGAAAGCCTGTTTGACATCAATCTTGTGATAGAATAGCGCTGCGAATGGATTTGGTTTGTCCTTTGCTTAACCACACAGGGTGATGTTCGGAAATTCGACGAAAAACCTGCCTAATTGTACGGCCTATGTAACTGGCAACACAGGAGCAGATACACATGGAATGTACATTATCTTATACTGATTTTTATTCAAGTCTCTAGTCAATTCCCTTCATGTATTTTTATCAAAAAAATGTATAGAAATAAAGAGAAAAGTTGTGTGATTGACTTGATATGATTATGAGCAATAGTTTGTGCTCTAAACGTCACCAGTTAATATTACTGTATAACGCTGTGTGATTTATCAAAATAAAATCTTACCAATAACAGAGTTGTATCAGATTCTATTTAAGGTAAGAGTTAGTAGATTATAAAAGGATATCTGTCAGAATAATAACTGAGAAACTATAGTATTAGCAGACCGATTGGCTGTTACTTTTTACGCATAAAATAGATAACAAAATTTCCTCAGTGTTTAATTTATTAAATTTGACTGATTGATTAAATAATTAATTAACGATAATGTAATCTCCTGAAATTTACAATCTGCACCAAAATCTAAACTATTTTATCAAAGTGTGCATACCACCAGTAATCGATCTTAAACTTGTCATCCTTCCCAATCCTTGATAAATTATTGATTACTGCAACTTGGTACAGAACTTTTCATCTCTGTTACTAGTTACTCAGTTACGTAATTATTAAGAAATAATTGTCTTCTCAGCAAGAATTACTATATACATTGAAACTTTTGTGAGCAACCATATCCGTTTGTATGCAATTACAGTTAAAGTCTTAAATTGACAAACTATTGTTTTCAAAGATTTAAAAATGAGTACGAACACCAATTTAGCAGTTTGCATTTTCTCTTAATAATTCTAATTGAACAGGAGCGAGTCACTCCACAGAGTATCGAACTTGACTAGAGTTACATGCTTGCGTAAGTTTACAATGAAACTAAGTAGGAACAATAACAGTAGACTTTCCTGACAGACGACACTATCCAAATCAGTGGATAGCTCTACATAATTTCTTACATAAAATACTTCTCTAGAATTCACGTTACTGTCAGATGTTACCGCAACACTTTTCGATCTAATTCGTCAAAATAGATCCAGAAATGTTGTTAGAGTCAAATGTCAGTAAGCGTGTCTGATTTGCAGAACCTGTTAAAGAGAGAAGATTTGATCTCCAGCTTTCTACCCTCGAATTCGACTTCGTCACCAGTTCTTCGCAGCGCTGAGACCCAGAATCCTAGATAACATATTAATGAAGCCAATCATTTAGTGACTATAGCAGGAAGATTTGTTGACCTAGAATTGTCAGTGACTTATACCATCCTGATGGGACTACAATGTTTGCAGAACGTCTTATTACTTTTTATTATTGTTTCCTTGGGTTCCTAGTGGGACATAGGGCTTCAACTGCACGTCTCCATTTACTTCTGTCTTCTGCTGTACTTTTCACCTGTATCCATGTTAGTCCATATTGTTTCAACTCCTCTTCATACGATCTCCTCCGTGTCACCCTTGGACGTCCCACTCTCCGCTTCCCTTTCGGGTTCCACTCGAGGGCCTGACGCGCGATGTCACCCAATGGCCTCCTCAGCGAGTGTCCAATCCATCTCCACTTTCTCCTGCATATTTGTTGGCTGGCGATTGGTTCTTGCTTTGTTTGTTCCCAGACATAGTTTCTTGTTGGTGATTCTTTCCGGCCCGGCCATCTGATCTTCAGTATAGATCCAGCGAAGACAGTTGTTAATAAATGTCTGCAACAGGCTGTTGGAAATATTCTTTGTGATCCGCCCGCCAAGTTTCTGATCCGTATAGAAGAGCTGACTGACTTGACGTTTGTATCGAAAATCCGACCGAATTTTGTTGTTGATGCTGAGTGACGCAGAGTTTCAGATTGGTTTCAGGTTGATCAATGTGTTTCTCGCCTTCCCGATTCTCGCTCGATTTGACATCCTCGTCTGTTCCTCCTGTAGTTGAGACAATGCTCCCTAGATAAGTGAGTGAATGAAGTAACCTCTTTCAAATCCCTCCCGTTGATGGTGATTCGCGCTTGATGTTGCTGCTGTTGTTGTTGGCTGGTTATTTTCATAACCTCCGTCTTGTCTATGTTCACCTGGAGTCCTGTCTTCGCCGGCTGCTTCTTCGACCAGTTTGTCGGTTTTTGCTTGTAAGTCTTCGATTTTGTGTGACATCAAGCATAAATCATCCACGAAATCCAGGTCTTCTAGGTTCTTCGTGCCGGTCCAGGATATCCCTGTCTGCTAGTTTCCCACTGTCTGACGCATAGTCAAGTCAGTCCACCACAATTAGGAATATCATCGTGGGTGATAATAAGCACCCTTGTCTGACTCCTGTGTTTATTCCAAATGCCTCGCTGAGTGAGTTTTCCGTTGTGGATCACTTGACATGTGTCGTTGTCGTACAGCTGTTGAATAAGGTTGATGAATATTTGGGGTACGCCATAGTACTCGAGGAATTTCCAAATTACTTCGCGGTCAACGCTGTCAAAGGCCTTCTCAAAGTCTATAAAGTTAAGGTAGAGGTTTGATTGCCATTCTATGCTTTGTTCTGTGATGACGATGTGTAGAGTTGCAATTCGGTCAGAACATGATTTGCTTGACTTTCCTGAATCCAGCGTGTTCTGGTTGGAGTTCTGTCTCCAGTGCGTCCTTTATTCTTTCCAGGATGATGCGACTCAGGATTTTACTTGGCGTCGACAGGAGCATGATTCCTCGCCAGTTCTTGCAGAGTCCTAAGTCGCCCTTCTTTGGTAGTCTCACGAGAAAACCTTTCCTCCAGTCAGTAAGCAACTTTCTCTCCTTTCAGACCTTTTGCAATAATGGAGCCAGCATATTTGCTGTCATCTCTGGGTCCGCTTTTAGTGCTTCAGGGGGTATTCCATCTGGTCCAGCTGCTTTTCCAGCTTTCAGAAGCTTGATTGCACTCAAGACTTCAGCTTTCGTTGGAGGATTGGTGTCAACGTGTAGTTGTGTACGCGCTGTTGTTGGTATTTCTGGACGGTGGTCGGTTCAAGAGTCCTTTGAAGTGATCCGCCCATTGTTTAGTCTGTCTTTCTTCCTTGGTAATTGGGTTCCCTTGGCTATCTTTTATAGGTTTCATTTGTATTGATCTCTTCCCGGATAGAGACTTGGTTGTCTCTTTTGCCTGTTGCCCTTTCAGCTTCAGTGGCTAGGTTGTCGTAGAATTGTCTTTTGTCCTTCCTGGCACTCTTCTTCACTTCTTTGTCCAGTGCTGTGTACGTTGAGCTCAAAGTCTCTTTCTCTTGTCCGTCTTTGCATTGAATCATTTTCTCTTTCGCCATTCTCCTCTCCTCTATTAATTTCCAAGTGTCCATTGAGAGCCATTCCTTGTCTTGTCTCTTCTTTCTTCCTAGAACCGTTGAACACGTTTCGTTGAAAATCACCTTCAGAGAGTTCCAATGGTCTTTCACGCATGATTCTTCAGTGATGTCACGTAGTGTTTCTTGCTCTGCTCCGACAGTTGCAGTGAAAGTGTCCTTTGTGGTTGTATCCTTCAGTTTCTGAGTGTTGAACTTGCATTGTGGCCTATATCCAGCTATCCTCAAGGCTTTTAGCTTCACCTTTAAAGTCCTTTGAATGACTTCACAGCTGCCTGTCTTCTACTTTTATTCAGTCTCAGATCTATATGTGCACCAACTAGTTCATGCCCACACTCCACATAGGCGTTGTAGAAGGCCTGGTAATCTTCTTCTAATAAACCGTTGAAAGTATGAGGCTAAATGTTCGATATATATTTATCATTCGCCAATGTAGGACACTTTACTGTTGTTATATTTCGTTATCCCAGAAGAATAAACTCGACTTTGGTCACAGAGTGAGAAACATATTATATAGTGGTAACTACTTTTAGGCCAACCACTGCTCAACGAAGGTTCGTTTCACGGTACGAACTGAAGGGACATTCATTTCGCCCAGCATAGCTCATTGAGCCAGTTTACATGTTACAAAACGAGGCCACAAATGTTTTCAAAATATAGAAAAACCAAAAAGTTAAGAATTAGCTTCATTTATTCGATTAACCATAAAAACACTTACGTTAGTAAAACTTCCATTGTAAAAGCGTAGTGGCTTAACTGAATGATGTAGTACCTGCTTTTTTCTTTCAACTAAATATGCTTATGACCACTTTTTTAACATTGGAGTTGGTTTTCTAAATAAAACCCAGGTAGTGCAAAATAAAGTCTCAAACTTAATGACTGATAACCCAATGGTATTCGGTAGTAGATGTTAGCCATTGCAATTTTGACGAAAAGGTTTGCTCAGATATCCGTCTTACTTGGTCAGATTAGGCTTAGTGGTATACTGCCTGAGCATGACGCCTACAGAAGTCAGTTCCCTAGCAATTCCATATTAGTTTGTTTATTAAATGTGTCGCACAGTGAAACAGTATTGTATACTGGATGACGTTTCGAACATAATTTATTGTTCATAATCATATCAATTTTTGTCACACGACTTCGAGATTTGATTTTTATAGTTTTTTCTGTCTTCTCCTTAAACCGACAACCTGTAGAGCCATTAAAACAAAACAATTTAGTTTATCTAATACCCTGCAATGATTGTGAGTTCAAATACATAGGTCAAACTAGTAGAACAGGGACAGTCAGACTAGCCGAACATAAAAACCTAGCTAAATCTAGACTGGTTTACCCGAATAAGATTAGAAATGTAGAGAGTAGTTCAGCTATAGCACTACACGCAGTTACACACAACCATACAATAGGATGGGATAGGATGACAGTTTTAAAATCTAATGTCACAGGGTATAGGGAGAGATTGATAACAGAAGCTTTGTTTATCGAATCAACTGCAAATACATGTAATAGGAATGATTCAACACCTGTCCCAGATATATGGAAAATTCTACTGCCCATACAACAAGTAGAAGACATAAAAAACTATAAAAATCAAATCTCGAAGTCGTGTGACAAAAATTGATATGATTATGAACAATAAATTATGTTCGAAACGTCATCCAGTATACAATACTGTTTCACTGTGCGACACATTTAATAAACAAACCAATATGGAATTACTTACTACTACAGTGCCCAAGTTTTACACATATATTAACAGTTCCCTAGCACATCTTAGCCTATTAATAACAGTCATCAAAAAAGACATAACCGTCAGACTGTTGACTTGTTATTTATGCTTGTAAGATTTGGGACACTGAATTAGTAGTTACATTTGTGCCTAATATGATTGATTCAGTGTTCAGTGACAGGTTTAAATTTTTTTAAGGAAATAGGTAAACTGGATAGATTCATCAAGTATCTTTTTCTTATCTTTTGAAAGTAAAGAAAAATCTACCTAGTTTACATTGTAGTAACTGTTCACCTAACGTATTTTGATAAATAAGAACGCTAATTACATTTAACTGATGACAAAAAATATAGGTTAAATAACATAAATTAGAAAAAATATGGGAGTACTTACTTTTAAAGGATTTTCACTTAAGTATGGAGGTTCACCTTCTAACATTTCCAAGGTCATTATACCTAATGACCAGATATCAATCTTCTGACCATACTGTTTTCTACTGACAACTTCAGGAGCCATCCAGTAAGGTGTACCGACCATTGTAGTTCTTTTTAAATCATTATTTTTAGCGGATAATTGTGCACAAAAGCCAAAATCTGTTAGTTTTACTGAACCATCTAAACCAAGAAGGATATTATCTGACTTTATATCACGATGTATAACATGCTTGCTGTGTAGAAATTCTAATGCTTGTAAGGTCTATAAGAAGAAAAATATAACATTTAAAAGTAAAGACATTAAAAAAAAGTAGCCAAAATGATGAAGTAAGCATCATTACACAATCAGATTCCAGACAAATCAGTAGTGGATTCTGATCTAGCGCTGGTTTCACAAAATACAGCATAATTTTTCCATCTGGCAGGTCCAATCCTCACAGTAAACATACTCAAACTTCTGCTTGTAGTGTAGTAAAGACTGCACTTTTGGGTGACCTAGTCTACAGAATTATGCCATATGTGAAAACTAGATAAAAAAACCGTTCTCAATTAGTAAGTCAATCCATAAATCATCGAAAATGAAACTAAATTGTAAGTACGTCAATTCAGGATGAATATTACTGGCCTAATGTGATAGGCGAAAATATTAGCCCTAGGCTAATCCCGAAAACATTTCTCGAATTGTGACAAATTAAGTACAGAGTTCATTAGGATGAACCCCGAAGCCTGAACATTACCGTTATAGCCAGGCGCAATCTGTAAAGGCCACAGGCGAACACTACAGAAGTACCTTAAGTTAGGAAACAATGGTTGTTAGTAGACAGAAGACAAGTAGTTCAGCGAAGAGTCTCGTTTCGGCGAATTCATTTTCATAGCTGTAAAATCGCAAATATATATGGTTATTTTGTGTGTGTGTGTGTGTGTGTATACATTAAATTTGTCAAACGAAAATACAATTAGTAAGTTCAGATGAATTGGATGTTGATAAGAGGATAGCAACAAAAGTGATGAGTTGTCAAAAACGATTGTTAAAGAGGAGTAAGTTCATGTGAATTGGATGTTCATATAAGAGGATAGTAACAAAAGTGATGAGTTGTCAAAAACGATTGTTAAATAAGAGTTACGTAATGGCATGAATAGTTTGATGAATGAGTTGTGCTCAAAGGGTGTATATGGAAACAAAATAATATACAGAATTACACAAGGGTTTCAAGTTAGAAAAATAAGCATACAAACACAAGTAAGGTCAAATCAAACAAACAAAGAAAAGTTAGGTCAAATCAAAGGAGTAGTTACCATGCGAGTAGAAGTGGTTAGATAATTTTCTTTTGTATGCATAGATCTGGTTCCTCCAACTGGATGGCTAGGGCTTCTGCGATGCAAAGAAGACGGAATCGTACTGTCTTTGGAAGGTTGTTCTTCACTTTGTAGATTACTTTGAAGGAGGCGTTCGTTGAGATGGAATGATCAGTATTGACGAGATGTTCGATTATTGCACTCCTTATATGGCCATTATTTCCTTTCCTTTCCTCTTTAACAATCGTTTTTGAGAACTCATCACTTTTGTTGCTATCCTCTTATCAACATCCAATTCATCTGAACTTACTAATTGTATTTTCGTTTGACAAATTTAATGTATACACACACACACACACACACACAAAATAACCATATATATTTGCGATTGTACAGCTATGAAAATGAATTCACCAAAACGAGACTCTTCGCTGAACTACTTGTCTTCTGGATTTCATCATGAGCTGACATTAGTTAGAGAACCATTGGAAAACCAGCTGGGAGTACTGGACAGCTGTTTCGTCCTAGTTTGGGACTCTTCAGCAGTACGCATCGACCGGGATTCGAACCCAGGACCTTCCGGTTACAAGGCGAGCTCGTATACCATTAAGCCACTGGGACCCGATCCAATGGTCCTTGAATTCTAACTTCTGCCAATTCACGACATAGCGCGACCGCTAGCCAATGTCTTCGGCGAGTATTTGTCCTCACACCCAACCAGCTGCACCCTACTGGTCATGACTTCCCACTGGAACCCAGGTAACTACCTACCTGAATAGGGCCAGTCGCCAGTGAGCATCTTATTGGTATTCAAGTTAGAATTCAAGGACCATCGGATCGGGTCCCAGTGGCTTAATGGTATACGAGCTCGCCTTGTAACCGGAAGGTCCTGGGTTCGAATCCCGGTCGGTGCGTACTGCTGAAGAGTCCCAAACTAGGACGAAACAGCTGTCCAGTACTCCCAGGTTTTCCAATGGTTCTCTAACTAATGTCAGCTCATGATGAAATCCTGAAATCAATCAAATCCCTACAAACCAACACTTGAATACTTGTCTTCTGTCTACTAATGTTCGAATGGGAATTATTCATGAAAATGGTTGTTCAGTGATAGTTTTCGGTGATTGTCTATCTTACGTAGGTTTGTGATGGAAAACTATTCCCAAAAAATTTAAATATCTATGCATATATATACATATGCATGCTTTGTTGTTATTGATTTTCAGACGACCGGTTCATTTTGAAATTATACACACATTACGCTAGAAAGTTATTCAAAGCACACAGACGACAATTATATATATATATATATATATATATAATTGTTACACAATAAGTACACTTTCAAGCAAAGAATATTTATTCATTTTATAATAAATTCTCATTAATAAACTGTTCCTTGTCGTTATTGTATTCGACATGAAACAATTTATTTTCGCTCATATATGTGTGCAATTAAGATGTGGAATATCCATACACAGAGAGTGAGAGTTGATGCAACCCAAATGATACATATATTTCTAACTAGCAAAAAGTAATTTAATTTGTTTCTGTTCTACATTCATATACAAACACAGATCGACTAATTTGTTTTCGAAACCTACAAAATGATAAACTTACTAAATCTAGTAATAGCTCACTTAAAAACGTGAAACTGGATGAAAAAATTTCTGTCACATAGATAGTAATTAGTCATTTATAACTTTATAATTAGAACAAACTCTCTGATGGTAAAGAATTTTGGTTGATGTCTCATAAAAAGGAAACATTATTATTGCAGTTGTTTTGTGAGTGTTACCCGATTGAGTCTTAATTGAGTTTGCATACGGGATAAAAAAAATTAAAATTAGATTCACTGGCCAAACCTCCTGTTATTTCACCCGTTTACCGTTTACATAAACTTTCTGTCAAAATGCAGCATATATGTGCCGTTGAGAAATGATAATTAACCTGAAATCAAATAATAACTGGTGCTCGATGTACAAGAAATGACTCTTGTAGATAACACCTCGGCCTTTAAAACAATCGGTGCAGGATTCGAGTCTCAGTAGGAATTCTTCCCCTCAGAACGGAGGCAGGTGCATCTAGTTGACGAGTTTCATATAGGGCGAAATCTGTATCCTTGATTCCACTTTTAATTACTGTCATCTAAAATAATACTCCATAGAAATTGATCAGCCTTATTTTGCACCAGTTTAATCTTCTCTTCAAACCTCCAACATATAATAGTGGATGTCATCGGTATATAATCACGTGACCGACATGTAGAAATCTGTCAGCTGAATTAATAGTCATGCACTGAGTCAAACATTCACACCTGCAGGGACTATCCTTTGAGTTGTGAAACTACAAAACCCTCATGAGGGAAGACGATAAACTTTTCTATGAAATACAGTAAACTTCAAGGTTAAAAAAAAGCAGTTGATTGTACGGTTACGTTTTAAAGAAAGATCTGAAGAAACCGCTCAACCCTAAAAAGGAAATTTCGTAATTAAAAACTAGAGTTTGGGAGGCAACTGCAATAAAAGTTATTTTCGGACAATCAAGAAGTATCAAACAATTCCCTCTATCTGACCACTAGTCGATATCAGTTAGAGAACCGTTGAAAAACAGGAAATACTGGACATCTGTTTCACTCTAGTGCGTGACTCATCGCCCGTACGCACTGATTGGGGTAGGGAAATTGTGTCAATCTGAGAAGGATGTCGGTGGCACCTATGGAGTCCCGTGCCAGCGAACCGACAACGGTGACCGTCTCCTACAGTTCTGTTCTGATAATCATTTGTTTCTTGTAAGCACTAACTTCAAACACAAGGAGAGACACTGTTTGACTTGGAGACCCCCTTCGTCAAACCAACGCTGGACACAAATAGACCACATAGCAATAAGCTATCGTTGGCGTGGGTCGGTAGGAGATTGTCGCTCCTTCTGGAACACGTGCGTAGATACCGACCATGCACTGGTCCGCGCTCGGGTGTGCTTACGACTGAACGGACGTAGGAAACAGCTGGCGGTAAAACCATCACGTCCCCAGCTCGATCAGGAAACTAAATCCGTATTTCAGGAAGAACTAGCTAAACACATATCTGTGTTCGACAGCTGTGCTCACCCTGAAGAAGCTTGGAAAAATATCCAGGCAGCCATAGATACAGCTGTAAAAGCTGTGAATAAGGTAAACCCAAAGGTGAGTAAAAACCACTGGATCTCCACCGCCTCATCCGAACTGATAGATGCTAGAAGACTTATTCCGGCGAGCTCCGAATTCAATGAGGAGCGAAAGCTGCACAAGAGGAAACTTACGAAAAGTCTCCGCAAGGACCGTGAACAGTGGTGGGCGACAAAAGCCAAAGAGATGGAGAAAGCTTTGAGGATAGGCAACACCAGGCAACTCTTTGGACTCATCAGGGAAACGGGTGGGAGAAGACAAATCATTAGTGAGACAATCTCGGAAAAAAATGGCACTATAATTAGCTCACAGGATAGACGACTGGATCGTTGGAAAGAGCATTATGAGGAGCAGTTTAATTTGCCCACAGCCACGCTCAACCTTCCGAGCATCCAACACCTCCCTGAATGGGATATAAACACAGGTCCTCCGTCACTAACTGAGGTTACTAAAGCTGTCACCAATCTGAAACTAGGCAAAGCAGCGGGACCTGATGGAATGACGCCAGAGGTATTTAAGTACGGTGGAGACAGCTTACTGTCCGGATTAACTGAGGTACTAGGCAGCGTCTGGGAATCAGAAGAAGTCCCATCGGGTTGGTGTAAGTCACTGATTATCCCCATATACAAGAAGGGAGACAAGTCTTCCTGTGATAATCACAGAGGGATTAGCTTGACTAATATAGTATCTAAAGTCTTAGGCTCAATAATCATGCGTAGACTGAGTGGTGCTCGGGAAGCACAAACACGAGAGAGCCAGGCAGGCTTTAGACCAGGAAGAGGGTGTATTGATCATATCTTCAC